TACGGGACAAACTAGGGATACCCCTCCCGATTTGCTGAGTCGCCCCTTGACGTTCACGCTCGCCGCGAACGTGGTGCAAAGAGACACGAACGTCTCTGAGGTGAGATACGTGGACGTGGACTGTCTATACGCCGCGTCGGCTCTCTCCGCGCACTCGAAAAAGATGCTACCGGCAATGAGCGGCGTGATCCGAAAGTGCGCCGAGGAATGGGGAACCTATTTCCCACCTACGTTTGCCAGCGCAGAACTAATAATGTTAGCCAAGGGAGACTTTACCGAAGAGATGGCCATTCGATTCGACGACCACTGCCAGATGGCGTGGAACTGCGTTTTTCCCATGCGGCAAGATACGAAAGACTTGGTCCGTCAGTACGTGAACACGGTGAACGAGGTCAGGTACCTGGAGAAACACGGTCAGATCAAGTTGTTGCTACAACACTACGTTGCCGAAGAGTTTGCGCGAGGCGTTGGGGTTTGGATAGACTTGGGTTATTCGAACTATCAACCGAGTAGCATCAACCACCTGTTTACTCGAACGTCCACCGCTCGGAGCGTAGCGACCAACAAATCCGCCGTGTTTTATCCGATCGGACAAAACGCGACCACGAGAATGCTGAAATCAGCCCGTCGCACAAACATTCCGATGCAAGGACAATACCTCTCGTACGACGACGACACTCCCTTCGTTACCGCGCACGACGATAGGGTCTTTGCGGTGGATCGTCACAGAGTGCGCTGGGGAGTCTTCAATCGACAGCGAGCTCCGTTCATGCCCCTCTTCCTAAAGTGTAAAAACAGTTACGTTCTGCTCTCCAAGCTATTGTATTCCCGGAAAGAGACGAAAGCAAGCGAATGGTATAGCTCTTTAATAGGGGCGGGCGAAGCCATAGAAGAAGGTAAGATCACCAAGGAGGATACCGACGACCATATTACGAAGATTGTAAAATCTGTCGTGCTCGCTCTAGTGAAAGAGTTCAAAACTGCTCCTATCAGGAGCACAACTAATCTATGTAATATATCTGACGAGGTGGTCGTGAATAGACCGAGCTCGGAGGTGTCGTTTCCTACAATACTAGATCTCTTTAAAAGAATATATGGTAAGAAGTCGTTGTATTTGAAATTGCACGTACCGGAGAAAGATGTAGAATGGATAATGGGCACAATGCCAATGTGTGACAAATATGCGAAAAGCACGAACCGTGATTTGAAGTTGGGCCAAACGGGCACCGTAGAGACTAGCGTCTTTGCACTCGAACCGTTAGAGAGATTGATATTAACGGGCTATTATTCGTACGCTGATTTCGGGGGGAAAGTCAAAGTAGCTTATAAGGAGTTGTACGGAAAAGACTTGAACATTTTCGATATGCCAAACATAACTCCAAAGGTTACGATAACGCCACCAACACAAGCACCGCCCAAAAAAGTACCAACCGTAGCGCTCAGTGAAGACATCAAGCCTCTGGTGATCAAATACTTTTCCACCGACACTTTGCAAGACCTCAACGACTTGTGGACAGTGTACGAACTCTACTCGCTACCGTTTGTGAGCACGTTGGAATGGTTGTTGACGGCGGCCGACACTTACGGCTACACGAACTGCGCGGCAATGTCGCCCTGGGTAAATTTGGCCGGATGCGCGGCACTGTCCGCCGGCCTATTGCACGATCACCCCGAAACGTGGGGCATCTACCCTCCACAGGGACGCTTGAACGTAAACTACGATTCGTCCGAAATGGCGGGACTAGTTTTAGATTCTACTACGGGACTTAAAATAAAGTTGGACTCGCAACTGTGCAGCACAGTAAAGAGCCTAATGGACAACACTAGGAAATACATGTTGGAGAGGACTCTGACAGACCTATCTAGTGCCATACCGTCCGCTCCACCGGTACAACTTTATTCGCTGGATCAATACTTGAAGAACGAAGATTGGTTCTTGACGCACATGGGCAACGCGTTTACAAACTACCTAAACCGCGTCAACGTGGAGTTGTTCACTAGCCAGGCCTGGGACGAGTCGGTGGCCGCCTTCCTGCGAATAAATACCACGAAGATCGTTCCCTGTACTCAAAACGTCATACGCCGCTCCTTTATGAGCAGGGGCATGTCGCGCGCCGTGGCTTACGGCATGCCGCTCGGATACAGAGTGTCTTTGCCGGCGTCGCTAAACGGCAGCACGCCGGGTCAGGTGAAACCCGTGATGCTCAGGGTGGGTTTCGTTCCTTCTAGCGTCAAGGAAGCCTACCTGGAAGACCTGAAAGAGAGACACGGGTCGGGTCCGTACGAAGCGGTCGCCCAAGCGTTCGGCCAAATCCCAAACGTCATGCGCCTAGTGGTTCCTCTACAGACGGAGGGCGGCCACGTGGAAGACCTGATTCGCTGCGGCTACCGACTCGTCTTGCACAACGGTTCGCTGGACCTGGACGACGACGTGGTCAGAGCCGCGGCCGTCTACAGACATTCTCCGCAACCGGTGAAAGAGTGGAAAGTCACCAAGGCGGCCACTTGGGGTACCCCCGACAAGGAAGAGTTTCTCTCCGAATTTTATCTGAGCGCCGAGGAGATATTCGCTCGCCTACCCAAACTCGCGCGCTCGGCACTGGCACTTACACCCGACCTACACAGGCGAGCGAGCCACCGACTCGTGGTGGACGACGCCAACGTTGTAGTGGTGGCACCAGTGACCGACAAGGCGGACGCTCGGTCCCAGTACGTAAACACCATAGAGCAGCGCTTCTCCAACTGGCTGCGTAACAACAACATTCGCGCTAACAACGCCGCGTGTCCTCGCAACTATTCCAAGGTCGTGATTCCGCTGTACGCCGAAATCTTACACAAGGCCCATCGTCTGGCGATGGAACGAACAGTTCCACCCGACTCTCTCCTGGCCGACAAGTACCGCGTCGAGCGGATAAAGTCGGTCAAGAGGCTCTTGTTCGAAGAGGCCGTCCTGTCTCACCAAAAGCGCCGCCGACTGACCGACACCGAAGAGGCGCACGTTCTAGTGACGTCCGCCCGCAACTTGATCGATCACGACTTTATGAACCCTTTGGAATTGATCCGAGCACACTACATGGAGATTGCGGCGGCCTGTTTCGAGTACGTGTTGCGCACTCCGCTAGAGATTAACAAAATCTCGCCGGGATACGCCGTCTACGAGCATCCCGGCTATCCGCGCCACACAAGGGCGGACGTGGTTCGCAAGATCCTCGTCGAGACCAAGGACGTCCCCGGCGTCGTGTTCGACTTTCTGAACGCCTTCTGCAAGCCCGAGGTGAATGCCTACGTCTACGTTCGCAATTCCATCGACGGCCTCGAAAGAGTCGACCTGAGCACCACACAAAAGCTCATGGACGTGTTACAGAGGCGCCTGGACGAGTACCGCGCCCTACCCGGTATCGATAGAGAGCGGGTCGTCAACGGTCTGGAAAAGTTTGGGCTACCCGAGTACGGCATTCACGCTCCGTTGCACACAAACGGGCAGACCGGGCGTTTAGATATTGAAAAGACCAGAGACGAATTGGTATGCAGACTCAACAATTTATTTTGACAGTTCAAGATACTTTCCCTTTTCGAGTACGGAGACTCCGCGGGGCATGCACTTGTCCACCCGCATTTTCAGATAGCACTTGGCTCCGGGCGGTAGTAGATTCGGAATCCACTCGGTGTTTATCTCCGTCAAGAGTTGGTTCCAGTCAATCTCTCGGAGCTGGGGAGAGGAAAACAAAATAGAGTCGGTGTCGGTATACACGACTCTGAGATGCTTCAGTCGCTCCCCCATCGTCGCGACGCACTTTAGCAGCGTCCTAGACAGCCGGCACGTTGCGGCCAGGACCGACCTGTTTTGGAGGCACTTCATTCTGCCGATCGAGTGCTTGTAACTGCCCATGCATCCGATGGCCGAGTTGCACATCTTCTTCAACATCCTCTTCATACCCGGGTTCTCCTTCAAGAGCTCGTAGGCCGACTTGAGAAGACACTCGGACACGCTCCGAAATCGCGTAGAGTCGATCTCTGTAAACTGTACGAGCACGGACGGATACATTGAAGAAAAATCGTACAGGACGCAAGGGCCGTCGTCGTACCGACCGACCGCGGCAAACTTGTAGCCTCCCCTGTATTCCATGCACCTGTCCCAGGTCCGCCCCTCGAACGTGTCCCACGTACACGCGGATGCAGAACACGTCCTTACGGCGTGGCAGACGTAATCGTAGGGTAGCGGGGGCTCTTCATCCAGTGTCAGTCCGTAGCGGTCTCGAAGCTGGCTCGCAATTTTTGCAACAGCGTCTTCGCACGCAGCATCGACGGTGACGAACGGATCCACCCAGGCCTCGTCTGCGTTCCGCATGGCCGCGCACTGCACCACGGACGCGACCAGCAACCTGCTCGCAAACTCTTCGTCCTCGATTCCGCCCAACGAGTCCAAGAGAATTTTGAGCCGCTCCTTCAGACCACCAGCACCTTCCGAGTCCAAGGAGAAGAGTTGCGGCACGTAGGGCACCACCTGCACCGCGTACTTCCGAAAGAGCGCCTCCGAAGCCTCCCCGCGGTGAACCGACCAGAGCTCCAACACCACCCCCGTCAGTGGACGTCGGTAGCCACACACCGTTCCGTGGTAGCAGAGTGTCCTCGGCGCCACTTCCTTGAGACAGGACGAGGGGAACACTTTGGAAGCCAGCGTAAAGTCGACGCGACCGAGATCTTCTCGGTGTAGGGCCGAGGCAAAGTCTAGACCGCAAGCCTCCGCTAAACCCAGAGTCTTGTAGAGGGCCACGCCGAAGTAGTACACGTGAAGACTCCCCTCGACGCGTTTGGCACACTTGTTCTCGACCAGCGCGTCCGCGAGGAACGCGGTGCACGCCGGCACTCGGACGTTGAAGAGGGACACGCTCGTGGGTATCTGGATGCCGTCCGTCGTCGTGAAAGTCTTTGAATTGAATTTTGACCATCGCGAAGCCTCCGTCGATCGTAAGAGGTCCAGTTGTCGATCCGTCATCGTGTCATAACTGGGTCAGGACAATGATCCTGTTATTTGCGCGCCCCCACTCGTACAACGCCAGGATGGCCTCGTTGCGGTGGGTAAAGTCGGACCCGAGTCCGGCCTGCTGTAGCACCTTCCGCAGAGCGGTTATGGTCATGTTTGCCAGCTTTGCGCCTTTTATGAGCTTCTTGTAGGACGTTGCGTAATGCGGCAAGTTATCTATCTTGTTCGAGATGACGTACCTGTTTACAACGTGACGTCTGATGTTATCGACGAGCGCGTCGCCCGTCAAGGTCACGTCCGGCACCGATAGAAAAATCTCGCCCGGACCGAAGGAGGCGGATCGCATAAAGTCCTTGACGATTCGTATGTTCTTGGTGGTCTTTACTCGCTTGTCGAATAAATATTGCCGCAAGGCTCGCTTCTGGACAATCTTGTACCTGTTGATGGAGTCGTCAATGAGGCACATGCCTATTCCGGTAATGTTGTACGAGTACTTTGACGACGCAAAGCGCGATGTGGCGGCCAAGAGTTTGTCGATCTCGCTCTGGTCTGCGGAAGGCTCGCTCTTGCGGTTGTCGTCGTTGTTGGTCGCGTACAGCGCCAGCAGGTTCGAGAGTCTACCGTCTGCGGTGGCCGGAGAAAGGGGGGTGTCTCGAATCATTCTGACCATGGCTCTCCGAATCACGTTCTCCCTGTCGACGGCCTTGCCGCGTCTCGTGGCATAGTGCTGGCCGTTGTACATGTACACCTTGACCACGGCCGAGTCCACGTTGCTGTGTGAGCCGAGTCTCGAGACGCGGCCCAGCGCCTGAAACATGGTCGCACACTCGTAGGTGGGGAATCCACCGATGATGTGCATGTGCTTGACGTTCTTGAGCGTGTGGCCTTCGCAGAAAAAGAAATTGGTCACCATGATCACCGAGGAGGTAAAGTTGTTGTACATGTCGCGTAGCTTCGTCAGGTACCAGGCGGGGTCCCCTGGCACGACGAATATGATGGTCATGTTCTTCCAGACAAACTTTCGGGCCGTCGTCTTGCTCTCGTGCTTGCCGTTGTTCATGATGGTCAAAATGTTTTCTCTAATGTCGTAGCGGTACGAAAACGACAAAGTGCTTGTCCTTGGGACGCTTCACAATCTCGTCAAAGACTCGCTTGACGACGCAGTGAATGTCGTCGCAGGTCTCCCGTTTGCAGTCGCAGCCGATCGCGGGGAAGTCGTCTTCGCTCAGAGGGTAGCGCACGTCCACCACGTTGGGCACGGTGTAACTCCCGTCGTCCCTGACCACGTGCAGAGACGTCTTGTAAATCTTTTTGAGAAACTCTTGCTTCGGAACGACCATCCGAATGCTAAAGTATCTCTCGGCGTCCTCGACCGTCTTTATGCCCTGGTCGAAGGTGGTGACCCACTGGAGCAGCTCGCCTTCGAATTTTGTAAAAAACGGGGTGGCCGTGCTGCACACAAATATCCGGTCGCGAGTCTCGTGCGCCAGCTTATGGACGGTGTTGCGAGCGTGCACCTTGTAGCTCCTCTTGCGCTCGTCCACCGCTACGAGAGGTCCGGTGGTCGCGTCGCTGCCGCCAAAACATGCGTCGCTCTTGAGATTCGATCTCGAAATGAAAGTGTGAAACTCGTCTATAAAGTAGCCCACCACCTCGTCCGACTTGTCGTGTTGCGACTTGCGAACCCAGCGAACAAAGTCTTTCCGGGTGAAAATCTGCACCACGCCGCTACCGGAACGGCATCCGCAAACGTCCACCGCGTAGCGATCTTCCGCCGTCGTCGATAAAGACGGTGCTTTCTTGCTTAGACCGTAGTGTGGATGTGCAAGCCGCCTGTAAACTGTCTTTCGCGAAGGAGCCTTGTAGATGTCGGTCCCAAAAACTCGTTGGTATTCGCGCTCGGTGTCGGCCAGGAGCGCGGACCGGGGCACCACGACGACGACCTTTGTTATAAAACCGCTATCGAGAAGATATCTCTTCACGAGAGCACCTTTCCTCGTCTTGCCGGAACCCGTCGGATAGAGCAAAAACAATTCCCGGATATAGTTGTCGCTCAGGAATGGAGCTATAATGTGATCCAGATCGTCGTTCTCGTTCGTGGCACTCATCCCGACTGAGAATGAATCTTCCGACAAACAAGTTGTTTCGCTACGCCCTTTGGGACGCCGGCACGTCGGTGGAATCGGCGGCCAGGGCGGGCGGTGTGTCGACGCAGCTGGTCGAGGCCTTTAGAGACAAATACGGCACGTTCCGGTCACTGCAATCGCTCTACGAGCTCTGTCTCGCCTATCTGGACGACTTGCTCGCAAATGGGAAGATCAGGGACGAGGAAATCTTTATAAATTTCACGTTCGTCGTGCCCGACGCCTATCACGAGTTGTCTGCGTTCGATCGGCGCCGAATCGTAAAGTGCGAACTGGACAGGTACCTCGCTCACGCAAAGGACAACGAGGTCATGTCCGTCGAGACATCGTCGACGTCGGTGGTGACGGCGCGATACGTCACCGAGTGGGAGGTGTACGCCATTAAGGGGCTGCAAATTTATCGAAACTATAGTATAATAAAAAATGCCGCATTCGAAGCGTTATTCGTCCGTTTCGATCGCAAATACGATAGTGAGTGAATATGAGGAGGACATTAACAGCAGCATGTACCCGCAGATTCACGTCAACGACGTGTGGCGAGAGAGAGACTTGGAGTTTAACGAAAACGGGCACATTGTGCTCTTCAAGAACGAGACGTTCCGAGCGCTGCTCTGGAACCCCAACGTGAACGTAGAGGGCATAGCGGACACGCCCAGGCTGCAACACATCTGCACCAAACTCCGCATGGCGTATCTGAAAGAGTGCACAGATACGGTGACCAAACGAGGCGCCACAAACACCATCATGTCCTTTATTCTGGCCATATGCAACAATTCGAGCGGAACCGACATCAACATCGACGGCTTCTCCTGCCACGTCCCCTACGACTTTCAGCACCTCAACACGACCGACAAAATGAATCTGGTGGAATTTTTCTGCAAGATGTACGGCGTGTACTGCGTGGACAACAGATACATTACCAGTGTCGGCGAGATGACGGACCCGGACTTTGTCGTCGGAGACTTTGTGGACAACTGGGAGGTGTTTATGCTAAAGACGTACCGGATCCTTCAGACAAAGACCAACATCAAGGCCGTTCCTCCAAAAATTGAAGGGGAGGTCACTGCCACCGAATGGAACCACAAGACCAGAGCTCCGTTCATCGATCAGAAGACTCGTCTCGTTACCTGGTACGATACGTACGGTCGCAAGATGCAACGCGTCAGGGACAAGACGTGGCTCGTGTCTCCGATGGACGCCGAATACGCCATGCCCCACGTATTTGAAAACACCTTCGGTTCGATCCCATACGAGATGCTCATCGATCCCAACAGCGCCGAGCCGACGCCTGCCAAATCCGTGGAGGTGGACGACAACGGGAATCCCGTCGACGACAAATCCAGTCCTCCCCCGCCGGAACCCGACGACAATGGCCGCGACGGCGTGTCCTGGCTCATTGGTAGCATGCTGTCCGGCAGCGCACTCGGAGCGATGGTAATTTACGGATACCGCAAACGTTGATCGATAATAAAGACAAAGACGAGAAGTTTCAAAGAGTGTAAATTTATTTAGCCACGAGAGATTGCATGTACATGTGATAAACGGCAACCCCCAAAACGCTGAGCATGATGACTATCAGGCACGACGAGGCTTGCAATAGGCCCGACTGACGGATTGAACACTCTGGTTTCATGACCGCCGAGGATATCGGTGCAATCAACATAAAGAAAAGTCCTCCGATGCAAAGTATGGTACCGAGTACGCCTCGAAACATGTAGTTGCCGTCGGTGAGGCCGTGCATTACTCCGGCGACCCAACCGGTATAACCCAGGATGCAAAAGATCCAAAAGAGCAACTTCATGCGGGCGTAGTAGCGTTCCTTTTCCATCTTGCTCGCAGACACTTCGTCTCTTCCCTTCTTGGATTTCTTGTTCTTTGCGGCCTCGAAGGCTTTCATGAGCGAGTTTTGCTTTTCGTCGCTCTTGCTAGACCTCGGAACGCTCCTGCTCGGGTCTTGACGGCGGTCGTACCGATCGTTCGTCGAAGCGGACATATTTATTTACCAATGGAACCAAAGATCGTGTCTCTCGGGCGCTACGCTCGCTCGCCGACCGTACGTATCGGCCATGTGCTTGATGGCCACCTGTTCGTGGTAAGGGTAGCGCTCCGCGCCAGCGACGGCGTCGTAGCCCGACGGCAATTTACTGTACGGTTTGGTTTTGTCCGCCAGCAAGGCGCTCCTCCTTTGCAAGACATCTCGCGAAACGCACGACCTAAATAGGTAACATCCCAACAGGAAGCTGGCTACCGTCGAAAGAAGCGCCACGGGGACTGTGCTCATGATTATTTTGTTATTGAATACAAAAATGACGACCGTACGTATCGGTTTAATGATTGCGCTACTCGTGGCGCCGTCGTTGGTGGCCTCCAAATCAAACGCCAATAAAAAATTGCCCTACTGCCAGAGTCTGCTCAAGGTCGCCAACGTTCGTTCAAAGATACTCAAAGTGAACAAGACGAGTTACGCCGTACTGTACACGTGCGACAAGAACGACACTCTGTACGGCGGACCGCCCCTAGTGTACTGTCAAAAGACAAAAAAGATGGTGGATGACGCATCGGGCGAGAAGCGTCAGTGCCTCTCGGTGAGCAACGAATACGCCGAGTGGCTACCCGCTCTCATCGGAATCGTAGGACTCCTCGGCCTCGGCGGCGGAGGTGCTCTATGCTATAAACAGTACAAGGGGTAATTGTTAAATAAAATAATAACGATGCGTATTCTCGTCCTCGTAACTTTATGTAGTTCCATAGTGTTGGCGCGCTACGACTTGAGCGCCGACATACGCAATTCCGTAAACGACCCATACTACGGGAGCCCGCAGTTGATATACACCTACGTGATCAAGAACGACGAAGCCATCAGCACGCTCACCAACCGCGAACTGGCTGCCGTGGTGAAACTCGCCGCCGAACTCTTGAACGGCCACATCTTTTGCGGCTCCAATCTTCGAGTCATGGAATACAATTCGTCTCTCGACGCTCTGCCCGACAGGCGGAACCAGCTACACATCAAAAGGCCCTTTCCGATATTCTTTCAACTGGGAGAATACCTTTCCTCGACCGAAAACGGCTTCTACACCGAACCGCACCTCTCGACCAAGGATAACTACCTAGACGGGCGACCCGGTCTGCGAAAGTGCCTATACGACTTTAGTAGCATTCTGTACGGGAGCCGAGACGCTCTGGCACACGCCGTGTACGACAAGCTGATCCACATAAACACGCTAAAGGTCGTAAATGCCTCGGCGGACACCATATTACACACGGTGTTACACGAGTTGGCCCACGCCGTGGGTTTTCAGCATTTAAAGAATGCGTCGTATTTCATGTACCCTTCCACGCCGGGATACGGGGGCAGTTTGCCCTACTCACAGTGGTACGAATCTTACAATCGGTTCTTTACATCGACCGAAGTATCCGTGATGAGGGATCGCTCGAGCAGATACAACGACTCTGCAATAATGTACGGCGGTTGGCTCGGGCACCAATGTCGCTCGCGCGACATCGACAGGGACATTCAGGAAGCGCTCTCGGAGGCCAAGCAGACGGTCGCTCAAAGCGGCTATAGCTTCAATCGCGACTACAAGTATTTTATGGACGTTCTCCGGACTCTCAGAATTCAAGACGCCTCTGCGATTGCGCACTCTCAGGTTTCCGGTCTACACAGAACGCACACGCTCATGAGCGAGGCCATGTTGCAGAGGGAACTGGCGGGCGTTCGCGGCAGACCAGTCATCTTAAATTTCTTCAACGACAGCCTGATTATTCCCTCGTACAACTGGGACACGAAGCGTTTCATTTTCGCCGCAGAGGACGGTACATGTTGGGGGGTCACGGCCCTGACTAACGATATGTGGCGTCTCAAGATGGCCATCACCGACCCGTCTCACGGGCGTCTCGTGTTTTCGGCGGACGA